GTGAGGCGCTTCGGTGTTCCTCTTAGGATGCATGATTGCCATCAATGAGTGATGAGCATGGGTGCCGGGCAACACGATAAGACCCGATGACGAGTACCTTAACTACACTACGACTCCCTACCATGAGTTTCAACAGGTTATGGGCCCACAACGCTTGGTTGTGAAGAGGGCGCAAGGTTTCAATCCTGGTCGTCTGGAGGGCGATAATTGAACGTGTGCGCCGATGAGCCTGTGAGGAAAAGGAGCGGAGGATTTGGCTTCTTTGTGTTCAAGGGAAGTGTACTTGAGATGGCGGGAGACAAGGTGTCGATCCCGCAACTCTGTGGTGAGAACTGGTCAACGTGGAAGGCCAAGTTCCGTGGGCTTCTTGCATACAAGGGATGGCTGTGTGCATTGGAGGAGCCGGAGTCCGTGGAAGGAAAAAAAGTGTCAAGCCAAGCAAGGGGGCTGATGCTGATCCACACGGAAGATGCTTATATGAAATTGATTGAGGGTGAACCCACTGCGGGGAAAGCGTCGAAGAAGTTGGAGGACAACTTTGAGAAGAGGAGCAATGCGCGCATGATTCAGCTCAGGAGGAAGCTGACGGGTCTAAGGTTGACCAAGGGGAAAGCCGTTGCAGAGTACCTAGGGGAATTCCGGGAGCTCAAGATAGATTTAGAGGCGGCGGGACAAACCGTCTCAGACCGTGAGCTGGCCGTGCACGCTTTGGAAGGTTTGCCGGAGGAGTATGCCACTGTTGTGGAGTTCTTGGAGCTTGGGGAAGAGGAGCTAACCCTAGATGAGATCCAGCCAAAGCTAATGCAGAGAGAGCAAAAGCTAAAGTTAAGGGCTGAAGCGGGGTCCTTGAAGGGGACTTCGGGTGGGGATGAAGCTGTGGCGTATGTCGCCAAGCATAGGGGCTACTCGAGCTCAGAGAAGGGCCGGGGAAGCTCAAACGAGCTGGGAAGAAGCTCGGAGGTGAGAGGCGGGAGCTCAAATCCGCCAACGTGCTTTTGTTGTGGCAATGTGGGCCACATGAAGGCAAAGTGCAGCTTGCGCGATGCGGAGTGCCGCAAGTGCGGCAAGAGGGGCCACACAGCGGTAGTGTGTCGGCATAGTGCGCGCGCAAGTGGCCGCGCAGAGGAGAGAGAGTTTGCAGGCAATACAAAAGGGGTAGCCTTTACGGCATGGGGCGACGACGAGGATGTGCGCAATGGGGTGTGGATTGTCGACTCGGGCAGCACCCAGCATGTCACGGCCGATCGGAGCCAGTTCACGAGCTACAGAGAGCTTGTGCGTGACGAGAAGATCGTGGGGATCTGTGGTGAGTCTCTGATTGCAGTGGGCATTGGAGAAGTGGAGCTAAAGTGTAAGACCCCGAGCGGTGTGAGTACGGTAACCTTGAGGGAAGTCTGGCACGCTCCGAGGGCACAAGCGAGTTTGTTCTCGCTAAAAAGAGCGACTGACGCGGGAGCACGAGTGGTGCTCGAGGGGAGAACCGCGCAGATCGAGCGGACAATGTGGTCCGTATGGAGGCAGTCAAACGTGGGGGACTGTGGGAGGAGATTGAGACCGTGGGGAAGCGGAGAGCATTCCTTGCATACAAATAAAGTTTAATACCTATAAGGCATTGTGACCTATAAGGTGCTGTATTGTGTAAGAGGACTGTACACGTAATGATTGCGCGGTCGTGCCCCGCGCTGCGCGGTGCGTACCCGAGAAGCAGCCGGGCCTACCCTGGGACATTAGGGTCTCGCAAGCAACCGGGTGACAAGCAGGCCCTCCCTCTGACATTAGGGTCTCGCAAGCGGCCGGGTGACAACCGGGCACTTCCCAGTGACATTAGGGTCTGTCGGTCACATTACCCTAGGTTTTTAGTGCTCCCCGGGGCCTCTTATGTACAATATTCCTCTACGGTTGAAGAGTTTCCTTATAGGGAACATTACCTTATAGGTATTAAACTTTATGGTTATTTCCTTGCGAGGGGTCCGGTCAAGGGGAACCGGGTGTGCGCCACGGCAAAGAGGCCGGTAAGAGCGGAAAGCGTGGTGAAAAAGACGGTGAAGGTCGTGGAGATCGACCTAGACGAGTCGGACGACGAGAATGAGGGCGTCGAACGTGAGTGGGAAACTTTTGTGGGGGCGGATGAGGTGCCGCGCACATGTTCACAAAAGCTCCCAAAAGGGGCGGAGTTTGAAACGGCGCGCGAGGGGGACGCGCACGCGCCCGCGACGAACCGCGGCCGCGTCGCGCGCACAGTTTCAAAGAAAGGCCAAAGTGGGCCGATTGTGGAAACGATGCGCGCAATTGTGGAGGTGTCCGAGGAGATCGGAGAGGGCAAGGAGAGCCCGGAGACGGCGGTAGAGAGCAAGCCTGCCGGTGTGGAGCAGGCAACGGAGAAGCCTGTAGTGGAGTCCCAAGAGTTGGGAAGATATCCTGCGAGAGTGCGACGGGAGCCCGCTGAGTGGTATCGGGCAAATGTGAAAGCCGTGGGAGCCGAAGAGCCAGAGCACGGAGTGGAGAAGACGTCGCCGGAGAAGAGCGGCGATGGCCACAGTGAAGGCGTGTGGGTGACGCCAAAGGCGAAGAAGACAGCCCGTAAAAGGAGCATGACGAGTTAGAGGCTTAGAGTACTTCGTCTGAGTGGGGGTGTTAAGATTCGGTGATGATAGTCAGCCGAATTACTGTCATTAGGGTTCGGCCCGACTTAGGGTTTGAACTAGTGAACGCCGACGTGCGTGC